TTTAATCTTTTAATATTTTTTTTTTAAATTTTGTGTTCATGATACAAGTTAAGAATATAATTAACAATTTTTTTTGTCTTTAATTTACATAAGAAGATAAAAATTAATATTAATTTCAGTACTAATGCTAAATTCATAATTTTAATTAAATGATCTATAAATGGAAGATAAACTTTATTTTTTTTAGCACAAATTAATTATGAAAGAGTATATTAATTGCTTCCTTAACTTTTATTTAATAAAATACAATTATATGAATAACAATTCAATTTTTTTATATAGTTTTTATTGAATGATTTCATTTCATAAAAAAAAAAAATTCAATTATCACTTATATACTAAACAAAATTTTCATTTAAAATTAGTATTTGAAAGGTTAAAAAAAAATTCATTTGAAATTAGTATCTAATAAGGTCAAAAAATAAAATTAAGTTAATTAAAGTTGAACGAGTGTGTTAATATTTATAAAAAAAATGTTTATCAATCTAAGTTATAAAAAATTTAGGTGAAAAAATAATTTAAAACTATGTTATTTTAATAAAATTCACTGAAAATGATTAAAGTACAATATTTTTAAAACAAAATTTATTTGTTTTGATTTTTTTTCATAAAGCTTTATTAAAATGATCTAATTTAAAATATTTTTCATCTAATTTTTGTAGAGATAATTAATAAACATTAATCTCATATTTATAATTTAAATATTTATATTTTTCCATAAAAGAGTGCCATCTACACTTACTGTGGAGTAATACGGTAGGTGTACGTGTACAAGTAGTTCTCTTTCCATAAGATGTTTTAATTTTTTACTTTTTCAAAAAAAAAAAAAAAAAAGAACAAGAAAATTACGCTCGAACCATTCAGGGCCTGAATGCAAGGCGTACTTAGGATCATCTGCAGCTAGCATTCTTATTCTTCTATTAATATAAAAACTGCTAAATACTAATCTAAAACCTCTATAAACACCTCATATTAGGTCAAAAAAGAAAATGTTGTGCTATATGTATAATTTTTTATATAATTTTTATATATTATTAAATGAGTAGATATATTCAATATTATGGTCTCACATAAATTAAAAGAATCAATCATTTAAATGACACGCCAGGTTGTACAAAAAAATAATATAAAAAAATTGTCCCAAAATCATTTCCCAAAAAGAAAACAACATTAACACAGATAATTCTACTGCTATCCATTAGTAAATTGAAACCCCTACATTATTACCAAAATTTTCTGATCTCTTTCTTTTTTTAAAGATAATATTCTTTTTAGTTTGAGAACATAAATGTTTTTTAAATTTATTTTTAGGTTAAGGATTTAAAAATAATTATTTAAAAAATAAGTAAAAATAAAAAAATAATCAAATGATAGATAATTAAAATTAAAACATAATTATAAGATTAAAGTAGAAAAAAATAATTATCTCCCTTAAAATTAAAAAAAAGATTATTATTCTAAAATAAATTCTAAATTAAAAAGAGTAATGATAGAGAGAACAAAAATTTGAGACGACAACTTAGCACTAATGGCATGGCATAAGTCATATTATTAAATTAATTTATGTATATAATATCAAAGATCTTAAAAGATAAAAAGAGTTAATTATTAAATAATATATAATTTATTTTTTTAATATTTTAAATTAGGTGATTTATGTTACATCATTGATTCTAAATTTTGGTTTTAAATTTTAGTTCTATTTATTATCTTGTAATAAAAAAGAATAAAAGAATTATTTAAAAAATTTTAATTGTTAAAAACATAAATTAACTATTTAAACTCTAGATATGGTCACACACTGAATTGCTAAGCCTACAACAAAAAAGTATTTTTTATTTTGTCAAAGTACATTTTTATCTACTCAATTTAAAATAAATAAAAGTGATAAGGATAAATGTAGAAAAATAATGAGAAATTGCATACAAAAGAAAATGAATATTTTGGTACATGATCTCACTTTTTTTTAAAATTTAAAATTTTTTAAAATATAATAGAACTCAAAACTCTTTCATAAATTAAATGTAAAATTCTAATTTTACATAAAAATTTATATTACTTGAAAGTCACTATTTATAAAGATGTATTCCTATAAAAAGATACTACTTCATAAAAGTTCCTTTAAGCTTTCAAAAACTATGTTTGATTTTAAAATATGTCTCTCCAAATTCAAATTTAATAAAATATATTAAAAAATCTAAAAATAATAAAAAAGAATGTTCTAGAAGTCAGGCCCAAATACCTCTCTTCGACTATATATAACGTGTAAAACTCAATTTGTCATAAATTTCACTTCACTTATGTATTTGACAATAAAAAATAAGTGTTTATAAACTTTTTTAAATTCACATAATTTTT